ATTCTTCGATCATGCATGGAGAAATTAAGGCCAACAATGTTTTACTTGGCTATAATTTTCAAGCTTAGATATACGATTTCGGCTTTTCTTGGCTGAATATTGAAGCAACGGCTTCCACCACTGCGAATTTGTTAAGTTAGGAGCTCTTATGCGGAAGCTAACAGGTTTAAATCACTATGCCCATTCTTTCTACTTCTTCGTCTTTTTCTTCATCGCCATTGGATGATGGAAGGGAATGGAGATGGAAGAAGGATAAAAGAAGTGGGCTTAGTGGTAGAGATCATGTGATATTTATGCCAGGATTTTACCCGAAATGAGAACAAAAGTAAAACGAGTGTCATTTTGTAGTTGTTTTATAAGTAGTAAAGTTTGGGTATGAAATATGTAAATACATAAGTTTAAAGTGCTATGTATGTGAATCCCTTTTTTTATAAACTTTGCAATCACTAATATTATGGTTGCATTTTATCATTTGTATGGAAGAGTTTCTCATATTTGTGCAAAGTAATCATTTTCCTTATAAATTAGTAGGATTTGATGTGATGATGTGAAATACTTCATTATAATTAAAGTTTCTTATTATATCAAATGATCACTTTCTAGTAATTTTATGAGCTAAGTCGGTTAAGTTATAATTGTGGTATATTCCATAAAATTAAGGGGGTATTTGATCAACAACAAAAAGAGTGCATTGCATTCTTTTACACAAGTTTTAAAAATCTAAATGTTTGGTAAAAAAAAACAGATGTGGTGTAAATTTATAATGCATTTGAAATTCTTTTTTATTCAATTTTATTGTATTTGTTATTCATTAGGTGCGGGCAAATTCTAAGTATAATATTTTTTGTGAAGTGTTGCATGCTGCCCGTAGCCCCGAAGTCTTCCCGTCGTTCACCATCGCTTACTAGTTGTTGATCGCCGTTGCAACTTCGCTGCCTGCTTGCCCACTGTCACTATGATCACACGTCTGCTCACTTATTTTTGTCGCTCCTGCCATTGCTACCTCTCCTGCCATGTCTCTCGCCGCCTGTTGTCTCCCAACATTTGTCACCGTCAATTACCGCCTCTACTAATCGCCATTTTTCGTTTCCAACCCCCTTCATTATTGATTGTTAGTCTCTGCCTTTACGGGTGCTGCAGCTCTTACCGGCATATTTTAAATTTAATTCGTTTTTCTTCAAACGATAAGAAAATGTAAATTTCTTCATTTATTTTAAATTAAACCAAACAACTCTAAAGTATCTCACATACAGTCGCATTGCATTTCTTTTTCAACAAATTAAATTTCTTCCATCACTGCCTTTATGAGCGGCACCACTCTTACTGGTGTATTTTAAATTTAATTTATTTTTCTTCAAACTGAATAAGAAAATATAAATTTCTTCATTTATTTTAAATTAAACAAAACAATTCTAAATTATCTCACATACAATACTGCCGCATTGCATTTCTTTTTACATTACATTTTTTTTTTCAACAGATCAAATGACCCCCAAGTGGTTAGCTCTTGCACACCTTGTAATGGCATCTTTGGAAAATTGTCCAGCCAAGTTGCATCTATTGAGAGGCAAATCTCCAAAATTTTGATTTGTTCTTACATTAGCAATAGTTTATTGGATTAGAAAACTTATCATCTTTCTATTATATTTTAAATTTAAATACTGTTTTTCAGTACGAAAGCTTAAATTATTACTTGGTGGGTTACTAATGCTTGCATTATAATTGTTTTCCCTTGTATTCTTTTGTATATGGAGAAAACTAGCACGCTGTCGAGTGCGGATGCTCTGATCCAAAAGTTAATGCTTAGTTCATACACTGAAAGCCAAGTGGGCTTGCTTGTAAAAGTTTGCGTTAGACATAATGTTAATTACACTGAATCCTAAATCTGCAAACTTACAAAGTCAGTTGGTTGATTAATAATGGCCGGGAGATAACTTATCATTCAGACCTCCCTCATGGTTTATAGCGATGATGTCTCTATTGTTTTGTAGGCATTTGTTCCCTCATGACTGTCAAAGTAAAGCTTGTTGAAGCATTGGATTCACAAACACAGCTTGGCCTGAGATATCCTTTTTTTTTCTTTTTTGTTAGACTCTATGTACTGATAAACATATTTATAGGATGTAGAGTTTCACGTTGTGGTCTGATTTTAGTTCACCATCTCATAGAGGCAAAATGCTCCAACATCATCTCTGCAAAAAAAACGTAACATCTAAAACTAAGGTTGTTGCTTCTTACTACGCATATATTGTCTTGAAAAATCACAATAGAAAAATAGGTATGAATTAGTAAATGCGTCTTAGTAAATAATCATTTAAGCATAAGCAGCATGCTAATGATTCACAAGCTGGAGAAAATAACTTTAAATCATGCTGCATAAACATGTGCAAGAATTCAAAATGGATGGAGTGATGAGATCTCAAGTCAATTATTTCTCATATAACCAAGCTTGCTTATAATATGTGGCTTGGATGACAGCTATTTATGGAAAAATGGGCTTTGGTAGATTTGATAAAACAATAAAATTAAGTTTTATACTTTTCAACAGTCAAGATGTCAATGATTGAAACACGTATGAGCTGGATGAATGGTTTTTCTTTGTTTCCATTTGCTGCCAATAAATCCACAATGTTATTCAATTCTTTAACTGATGAAATAACTCACCATGGAGCTGAATGATGAATTTAATGCAGAGCTTAAATTAGCTGCCTTTGAATCTACTATAATTTCTCAGTTTTCAGGGAAATCGCATGTGATTTTGAACTATTTGCAATCATATTGCAATATTACTGTTTCTAAGTCGCTGTGTATCTATGTAGTTTCATTATGCATGCTGATAACTTAGAAAAAAATCAGTCTGTGACTAATAGCAAAATGAATGGTTGCTCATGAGGCAAACATGCTAGCACGTGAGATGGATCCTTACATTTAATTTTTGGCATTTTCTATAAATAAAAATAGTTGATAAAAATAAATTTTATAAATAAAAATAGTTGGTGGTGGAATAATAATATGCAAAAAAAGATAAAATATAAGAAGTTATGTTATAAAAATTGGTTTAAATGTAAAAACTTAGAGAATTGAAAAAAATATCAAACGGTCCGCACGGAGTATAAAAGAACCATCTGTGACTCTAAAAAGTTTGTTTTTAGTGATCTTTATAAGATATTAGATACTAAACAGGGCGAAAAATATATGTATAAACTAGCCAAACAAAGAAAAAAGAAAAGTAAATATTTAACTCAAGTAAAGTGTATTAAAGATTAAAATCAAAATGTGTTCAACATAGGTGGGTGAGTTATTTTGATAAAATTTTTAATGCAGTTTCTGACAATACGATCAATCTTAGTGATCTTAATATCGTTAATAATAATAAAACTTTTCATTTTTACCGTCGCATTAGTAAAAAAGAAGTTGATGAGGCTTTAAAAAAAAATAAAAGGGTGGAAAGTCTGTAGGACCTCATGGTATCCTAATTGAAGTGTGAAAATATTTAGGAAATTTGGGAGTTTCTTGGCTTACTAAACTCTTTAATATTATTTTAAAAACTAAAAAGATGCCTGGGGAGTGGAGGAAGAGTATTTTGGTCCCCATTTTTAAGAGTAAAAGGGATGCACAAGAGTGTGCAAATTATAGAGGAATTAAGCTGATGTGTCGTACTTTAAAATTATGGGAGAGGGTAATTGAAGATAAGTTAAGACGCATCACAAAAATTTCTCATAATCAATTTGGATTTATGTCGGGCAGGTCTACTATGGAAGCTATACATTTATTGAGAGGTTTGATGGAGAAATTCAGAGTTTATAAGGAGGATCGACATTTGATTTTTATTAATTTAGAAAAAGCTTACGATAAGATTCCAAGAGATATCCTTTGGAGAGTTCTTGAGAAGAGAGATGTTGATATGACTTATATTGAAGTCATTAAAGATATGTATACTAGAGTTGTTACTTGTGTTCGAACTGTTGGATGATTGACCAAATATTTTCCTATTTCTATTTGATTACATCAGGGATCGACTTTAAGTCCATATCTTAGTTATGGATGGTCATACTGGACATTTACAGGAGGATGCACGTTGTTGTATGCTTTTTGCTGATGATATCCTTCTCGTGGATAACACGAGAGAAAAAGCCAAGGAAAAACTTGAATTATGGAGATCTACATTAGAGTCTAAAGGCCTTCGTTTGAGTAGAACTAAAACTGAATACAATGAGTTTATTTTTAGTAGTAGTAGCTCTTGTGACAGAATAGTAATTTTGGGTGATCAATTTATTAAAAGTTGTGATCGATCTAGGTATCTCGGGTCTATTACTCAAAGCGATGGTGATATAGATGGAGATGTTAATAGTAGAATTCAAGTCAGTTGGTTGAAGTGGAGGAATGCTTTGAGCTTATTGTGTTATAGAAAAGTACCGCTTATAATGAAAGGAAAATCTTATAAGATGGTGGTGAGACTTGCAATGCTCGATGACGCTAAAGATTGGTCTTTAAAAGGGAAGCATAATACCAAGTTAAGTGTTGTTGTGATGAGAATGGCTAGGTGGATGAGTGGCTTTATACTTAGAGACAAAATGCAAAATGAATATATCCGATGAATATATCCGTGATAAATCCGTGATAAGGTTGGTGTAGCTCCAATGATGGACAAAATTAGAGAGAGTCGTCTTAGATGGTTTGGTTACGTTAAACCATCTGATGATTCGATTAGGAGAGTAGATGTTCTAGATTCTACTTTTATTAAGAAAGACAGAGGCAGACCTTGGAAGACTTGGGCGTATTGTGCAAAAAATGATCTTAATTTATTAGAATTAAATGAAAATATGACAGTAAATAGGAAACAATGGAGAAAAATGATTCATGTAGTCGGATCAAGGCTTTATTGCTGTCGTCTTTGTCTGTTGTTGTATCATTTTTTCATTGAAAACTATAGTATGTGAAATCTCTTTACCATGACTAGAAAACCAAAAATAGTAATTTTATTTCGGTATTTGTTGCAGCATGTGCTAGATTCCAGTGCTCCCAATGTTGACGAGCAACGTTCAAGCGTGCTGGAAGTCCTGCAGAAAATTGGCGTATCAGAAGAAAAGATTCAAAACATGATTGAAGTTTGGAATAAAGTATGTACCTCTCTCCATGTTTTCTATAACTAATGCTATCACTGAAGTTATAGTCACTTCCTTCTCATTGTTTGGGTGACATGTTCCCATTCCCAGATTGATCTTCTTAATAAGAATCTCGGAACTACTCAAGATGAAGCCCGGGGTGAAGCTGAAGAAGAAAGGAATGGGGACCGATCAGAAGATCTGAAGGAAGAAAATGAAGCACAGCTAAAAGAAGATGGGATCTTACCAAAATTTTCAGAGGGCATGAGATCTAACCAAATGGCTTGTTCAGATTTAGATGAATCCAATTTATCGTTCGATTTATCGCCTGATGACGATCTAGACGTCGTCGACGGCCAAATAAGTCGTTACACTGATGTTCAGAAGATGAAATTTAATGCGCACTGTGAGCAAGAAGTTGCCAGCCGCATAGAAACTTCTGCCATTACAGGAGTTGGTTTGAAGGAACTCTTATCTCTTATCAGTGAGAAACTAAGCGCACAAAAGCTAATTGAGAAAAAGAGTTACGAGCCCTTCAACCGAAAATGGAGGCCATCTCATAACTTGGAATTCAATAGAGCCGTTGAACAGTAGGTATGTGGCACAAATTGATTTCTAGTATTGCTTTTGTTTGAATCCTTTCTATTTCTTTCTCTTCTGATAAGAATAACAGTAAATTGTTATAAACTTTCATTTATGTTTCATGGTGCAGAAATTGTTCTTGTTTCCTTGCCATCTTCTGAGAGGGGTGATGCATAAAGGATGAAAAGGTCTTGGAAAAAACATTCGTGGATTGATTTTATATTCTTCAAACTGAACTGTGAGAGTTGTTGAAAAGAAGGAGAAAACAAAATAGAAAGTTGGTTGGGTTAGTCCTTTTGTAGCTTGCGTCTCCTCTCTACCAAAATTGTTGACTTTATCTTGTGCATTTGAAGAACTCTTGATGGAACTGGAACTATACCTTAAATGTACATCATTCAGGATTAAATAAATAAATTCCAGTTGTATGGTGATTTTAAATGTGGAAGTTCCCTATTTCTAATGTAATGTTGGTAAATGCCCCTGGATTTTTTTTTTCTTTCAATATGTTCATTTTTATTTTTTTAGTATAGTGATAAAACTAACCCTTTTAATATGGTCATAAAACAAACAAGTCTAATGCCAAGAAGGATAGAAAGAAAATTATTGCGGCTCAAACAAACATAATAATTGATTTTGTAATAAAGGATTTCTTGTAATTTAAATGGATATTATTGTAGTTAGGGGTGCAAACGAGCCGAACACGAGCCAGCCCAAACTCAGCTTGTTTTCGGCTCATTCATATTTTGAGCTCAGAAAGTTTTTTTCCTGAGCGGGCCCAACCAGAGCCGTTCACGAACAAAGAGTCGTTTTGACAACCCTAATCACGCAGTCATAAGCTGTTAAGGATTGGGGCAAGATTTAAAACATCATTTGAATCTAATTTAATAATTTATATTCTAGTTTCTTAATTAATACTTTTAATTTATTATAAATCTTTGTATTCAATTAATTTTTTTTAAAATACTACCATACATATATATATATATATATATAATTGATTAGTAGTATTTCGAGCTAAAACGAGTCGAACACGCTCGTTAATTTAGTGAACGAGCCAAACATGAGCTTCTTAACCAGCCGAACACGAGCTGTTCACGAACAATGAGCCGTTCTGACAACCCTAATTGTAGTAACTTTAAATAAAACTAAGCTTTTTAAATTAAGATCTATAAAAGTAGAGTTTCAAGATTCGTTTGTTTGAGCAACATCGCTCTTCTACAAGACTATAGCCTCGTTAATGGGCTAGTTATATTTGTCCAACCTTTGAGTTTTTTTAATATACAAGTCCTAAATTATTTCAGTTTGGCATGAACAAAGATCTCCATAAACCTCCAAAAGCAAATATCAAATATCAAACTTCAACAAAATCAAATCATTTCTAAGGTTGTCCTTACTTTTATAGCTTTATATTATTTTGGATGGCTTTAAGATCAAATTTAAAAGGCTTGGGGCTCCTCTGTTAAATTATAAGATGTAAGTCTTATATGTGGATTTTTATTTTATATTCCCAGTTAGAAGTCTCATACCCTCGGCTTTCGCTCAATATAAATTTCAACTATCGATCAAATTTATGCCAAAAATATGAAGAATAGCCTCTCATGCCATCTGAATCCGATTCAAGCATATGTGTCCACTCTCTGATTTTTTTGCAAATTCAAGGAAATGCATTCTTTTCTTTTTGCTTTCTCATCATTATATAAAATTCAATAATATTCTAGCAAGTCTATTAGGTCATGCCCTATTTCATCTATGTATTGCACATCACATGTGAAGTATTTCACTACTAAATTTATAAACATAAATCTCATATTTAAGCATCCCTCATATAATGTTGCTAGCTTCATATTTGGATTTCCTTGTAACATCTAAATTTATAAACAATGTCCCTTGGCCATTCCTAATATGTATGTAAGCTCCAAACTTCTAGTAGGGTTGGAACAATAGAATAAACTCTCCAATCAAAATTCACAAGTTAAATATCTTGGGCTTGGCCAAATTCTATTAAATGTCATAACTTCATTCTTAACTTAGCTTATGTATTCCCCATCTTTATCAAAATTTCCACATTTTCCTACTAATATAAGCCCACTATACTTTAAATTAAATTAGTTGAACACATATTTCATAAGTTCATATATATATATATATATATATAATTGATTAGTAGTATTTCGAGCTAAAACGAGTCGAACACGCTCGTTAATTTAGTGAACGAGCCAAACATGAGCTTCTTAACTAGCCGAACACGAGCTGTTCGCGAACAATGAGCCGTTCTGACAACCCTAATTGTAGTAACTTTAAATAAAACTAAGCTTTTTAAATTAAGATCTATAAAAGTAGGGTTTCAAGATTCGTTTGTTTGAGCAACATCGCTCTTCTACAAGACTATAGCCTCGTTAATGGGCTAGTTATATTTGTCCAACCTTTGAGTTTTTTTAATATACAAGTCCTAAATTATTTCAGTTTGGCATGAACAAAGATCTCCATAAACCTCCAAAAGCAAATATCAAATATTGAACTTCAACAAAATCAAATCATTTCTAAGGTTGTCCTACTTTTATAGCTTTATATTATTTTGGATGGCTTTAAGATCAAATTTAAAAGGCCTGGGGCTACTCTGTTAAAATATAAGATGTAAGCCTTGTATGTGGATTTTTATTTTATTTTTGCAGTTAGAAGCCTCGTACCCTCGGCTTTCGCTCAATATAAATTTCAACTATCGGTCAAATTTATGCCAAAAATATGAACTCTAGCCTCTCATGCCATCTGAATCAGATTCAAGCATATGTGCCCACTCTCTGATTTTTCTGCAAATTCAAGGAAATGCATCCTTTTCTTTTTGCTTTCTCATCATTATATAAAATTCAATGATGTAGTTGGGTAAATATATTCTAGCAAGTCTATTAGGTCATGCCCTATTTCATCTATGTATTGCACATCACATGTGAAGTATTTCTCTACTAAATTTATAAACATAAATCTGATATTTAAGCATCCCTCATATAATGTGCTAGCTTCATATTTGGATTTCCTTGTAACATCTAAATTTATAAACAATGTCCCTTGGCCATTCCTAATATGTAAGCTCCAAACTTCTAGTATGGTTGGAACAAATAAAATAAATTCTCCAACTAAAATTCACAAGTTAAATATCTTGGGCTTGGCCAATTTCTATTAAATGTCATAACTTCATTCTTAACTGAGCTTATGTATTCCCCATTTTTATCAAAATTTCCATATTTTCCTGCTAATCTAAGCCCACTATACTTTAAATTAAATTAGTTCAACAAATATTTAATAAGTTCATAAGATATACTAACTATAGATCAATAAGGCTAACAACTCCTAACAAGACTGAGGGACATTAAGCTCATCAACTAAAATGAGATCATGTTGTGTTGATCTATCGACCTTAAACTTAAACTAGTTTTGAGAACTTAAGCTTCACATAACGAACTTCACATATAAGTTTTCTCCCTGGATTAAGCCAAAATTCTAATCTACAACCTTAGCTTACCATAGGGTTCCCTTCTTGTAATACAATGCTTTTTTGTCACTTGGTTTATTATCGTAGAAGTTAAGGATCAATTCTTAAGAATGGCTTATGTATTAAATATGGATCATATCTCCTTAATGAGTGTCTTATAACAACAAAATTTAACATCAACTAGTGACCTGTAAGGCACTCTTTCTTATAAGCAAACTCAAGCATGCTATGCCTCTTAGTTAAATAATTATGCCTGATCATATTTTACTTATTTAAGCTAATTTCAATTTGAATAAATCAAGCAAAATTATGAAACTTTGGCTGTCATGTTCTTTAATTGAGAATTGCAATCAACCATTCCTATGATCATAAATAAATATTTTTAATCCAAAACAAATTTAAATGTTATTCTTAAGAGAATATATTATTTAACATATTTGCAATTTAATCTACTTAAGATATGTGTGAAGAGGCTAGATACGGGTGTTAATCAGAATATTTAAAAAGTGTAATTTGATGCCATCAATCATTAGTACATGATGCCCACCATATTCACCAATGATGATTGACCATCTTTCTTTTTTAATAAATATCTTTATCTAGAGCCAATCAAATATGGAGATTTGGAAACATAAAACGGTTTACCCCGTTAAAATAAATTAAACAAAGTTAGTTCATCCTCTAATTTAGTAAAATCCTTAGAACATCTCAATCAATCTCTAAAATCCTACTCTGTTCTTAACAAACCAATAAAAGACTGGGATCTAAAGTTGATAAGAGCCTTAGAGCTCATAATCTAACAATCCTTAGATAACATATTCCTAGTTTTATTATATTTACCTAAATGCCTATGTTAGTTTGGATAAATCTCTATTAACTAAACTTGGTCCTAATTTAATTTAATATTTAGAAGTGGTTTGATTATTATTTAATTAATCTAATCTAGTCATTTTAGGCATAATAAAAGCATTATTTTCTTATTAAGCTTCTATTATGTGTTAAGTAGTATTTATTAACAAGTGGGCTTGGTTCAATAAAGAATTTTTCTTCTTATCTTATCATATTCAAAACAAACTTAATATGAATTTATTAAATATGAGTGCCAACACAACCATTTAAATCTTATATAGTTATTAATAATTTGTGTGATCTTTGTTTGACTTGACTCAAATCAAAATAATTTTTTTTTTGTAAATTCTTAGTAGTTAAATGAGGACTAATATTTTTTATCCATGCTCGTGTAACTTTATTTAGTTTAGGTTATTTGCACCACAATTGATTTACATGTATTTTAACTATGCCTAATTGATACTTCAACCCAATTAATTTACAATGGACACTAAATTGGCTCTTAACTTTACTGGATTAAATATTAATTTGTCTCAATCTCATTAGGCTAAGTTTAGATGAATAATTGAGTATTTTTAGGCAATATATTTATCTTAATAAAGCTTAATTAATGTAATAGCTTACTCTAGCTAGCCAATTCTAAATAAACTAATTAAAATTTATAATAGCCTTGTGGAATTTTAAGCTTAATTGCACATTGGAGTTAAGTTTACTTGAGTCTAACCTAAATCCAATTTCTACACTTTAGTTTGACTACTATAATAGCCTTGTGGATCAATTAAGATGGGTTGACTTTACTTGCATCAAATAAGTGCATTTTGTCCTTTAAACCCAAGACAAACTCCTTTAAATCCTCAGACTTAACATTTTTTTAATTAATATTTAATTATGCTTCTTAATATATAAACTTTCATACTTACTTGTATACTATTTAGTTGTTTAAATCATATTCAATATAAAAAAAAATATCTTTATATTAAAAAATTAATATTAATGATATTTTAATATCATGTAAATAACACTTTAAAGTAGTATTTATTAATAAGTGGGCTAGGTTGAATAAAGAATTTTTCTTCTTATCTTATCATATTCAAAACAAACTTAATATGAATTTATTAAATATGAGTGCCAACACAACCATTTAAATCTTATATAGTTATTAATAATTTGTGTGATCTTTGTTTGACTTGACTCAAATCAAAATAATTTTTTTTTTGTAAATTCTTAGTAGCTAAATGAAGACTAATATTTTTTATCCATGCTCGTGTAGCTTTATTTAGTTTAGGTTATTTGCACCACAATTGATTTACATGTATTTTAACTATGCCTAATTGATACTTCAACCCAATTAATTTACAATGGACACTAAATTGGCTCTTAACTTTACTGGATTAAATATTAATTTGTCTCAATCTCATTAGGCTAAGTTTAGATGAATAATTGAGTATTTTCAGGCGATATATTTATCTTAATAGCTTAATTAATGTCAGAGCTTACTCTAGCTAGCTAATTCTAAATAAACTAATTAAAATTTATAATGGCCTTGCGGAATTTTAAGCTTAATTGCACATTGGACTTAAAATTTACTTGAGTCTAACCTAAATCCAATTTCTACACTTTAGTTTGACTACTATAACGACACTCGGATCCATTACGATGGGTTGACTTTACTCTCATCAAATAAGTGCATTTTGTCCTTTAAATCCAAGACAAACTCCTTTAAATCCTCATACTTAACATTTTTTTTATTAATATTTAATTATGCGTCTTAATATATAAACTTTCATATTTACTTGTATATTATTTAGTTGTGTAAATCATAATCAATATAAAAAAAATCTTTATAGTAAAAAATTAATATTAATGATATTTTAATATCATGTAAATAAAGTGTGTTCAGAGTGCTTCGGGGTTCGGAAAGCGATAAGGAGGATATTTTTCCCACTTTCTTTCCCGCTTCACTCTTTGCTCTTAACCATGCTGTGCTCTTTCTCCCAATCACCAGGTAAAATCTAGGGTTTTGATCCGCCGGCCTGAAAGGTATCCCATTCTCTATCTCTCTGTCTCCCATCCTTCCCCACAGGCGCACGTTCGCACGAGCACACTCTTATAATCTTTTGCCTATCCCTTATGCAGACGCAAAGCATGGCTTCGTTGAACGTCTTCCCTTCTCTCTACGACTTTCGGCTCACTAGAAATCCCAAGCTTCCAAGGAACTTCGTTTCGTGCATTTTTAACTCTCTTGAGTTGGCCAAAGGTTAACTCTTTTCTGTTCAACCTGAAAATCCCCTTTTTATTTCTTTTATTTTGTCCTGCTCTCTTTGAATTGTTATCGTGTTGCTTTGCCCTGCCTATTCTTTTTTTGTTCCTCTTGGTAGAATTAAAAATATAGGCCACAAATTCTCTTATTGTTTCCACAGCAAAATTACATATTTCTATAATGCCGGCCTGTGATGAAATGCTCCTAATGGAGGTGTTCAGTCTAGTTTGCAGACTTTTATATGGAATCTTTGACTAAAATTGAGTTTGAATCAGGCTCTCACCTAATAATCTCTGAATTTGAGAGTGGCTAAAATGGAGGGAAAAAACAAAGGTCTTCTCTTGAGCGGATAGAATCTAAGCAGTACAAGTTTATTCTTATATAGTTGTTGGTGAAGAGGTGCCTCCCCACTTATCGACTTCTTGTCGTTCTTGTCTGTCAGAGTTGCTGATTTTATCAGTTTGGTTATATTAGTTGAGAAAAGTATCTATTCATATTTTAAGTAGGTAAATAGTCTCATCCTTGGTTAAGCTATACTATGAAATGGGCATGTTTGGACCAATGCATTCTTATGAACATTCTATTGAATTATGTGAAATTTTTTAGAGGCCTGTCCAACTTTTGGTCCAGTTAGATATTAGTTGATTTTGTTGAGATTTGTCTCTAATTTAGGGTTATATTTGTTAATCAAAGAAGTTTCGGATTTTATTTGTAAATTTTGTATGACTATATAAGCCAAAATATTAATGAAATCAGTAAGTTCAATTACAAAATCATTTACTTTGGTATCAGAGACTTAACCTATTGCCTCCAGCTCGATCTGGATTTCTTTGGCGTTGCCTTCTTGTGTGACCAGTAGGATTGGCATCGTCCTTGCAATTGTGAGTTGGGATCGCGAACGACGAACCAGTAGGTCCGACATTGTCTGAAGCGGGATCGCAAACTAGCTGGAAGCTTGGAGCAGGGATCACGAAGTAGCTGCAACCGTAGCCTACTCTAGGATGGCAACGAGAGGATCGCAACTTACTGGGAAGGATCGTGACAAAGAACCCTCGTGATATAGTTGCTGGGAAGGCAACTATGGGATCACAAGTTGCAGCTCAAGGCTTGTGGCTTAATGCCGTAGAGACGAAGCGAAGGGGAGAACAACAACGTGGCTTAAGTGTGAGGAGGAAGCAGTGGAGCAAGCTGTTCGAACGTCTTCTGTTTTAGCGCAAGCATTGCAGTTTGAACTGTCAGCGTGAATAAAGACGTGCAATCAATTTGGTGTGGCGTGCGATCGACAGAGTAGTGCGAGGGAAGTAGGCAAAGCTTCAGGTGGATTGTGTCACTTGAGAATGACTACGACTTCATGCAGAAGAGCTAAAGAGGGGGCATGAGACTTCTGTGGTTCTTGGGTCGCGTGAAGGTTTTTTGACGGTAGGGAAGAACGACGAGGAATTGAATGCATCGAGCTCAATTATGACAGGTGCTCATGGCAGACCTGCAGGTGCTACAACTGTGAAGAAGTGGGACATTTGAGTAAGTTTTGTCCAAATCCACTCAAGGAGAGAGAGATGGGTGGACATGGATTGTCTTAAGGGGGCTACCGGGCAAATCTGATGGTAGCCAATGACAACGGTGGTCTTTATCGATGAGGATCGCAAGTTTCTGGAGATGTTGAAGAGGAAGCATACAGCGATATGTGATGTCACTGAGAATGAATCCATCTTTTCTTCATCCAAGGGAAACACTACAAGTTATGCTCACTTAGCCAAAGGTGCTTTTGATACACATGTTCTTGCCTCTATATCTACCACAAGTTTCCCAAAATGGATAGTAGATTCTGGTTCATTTCGACATGTGATAGGTGTCGCTAGTGAGTTCTCTTTCTATACCCACTTAACAGTTCCAGAGAGCATTCAAACTGTTAATAGTACAACATAACCTGTGGTTGGTAAATATACTGTGAGATGTACAATTTCTATGACTTTATCCAATGTTTTAGCTCATTTCTTTCCAGTGAACTTTTTATTCAATAGTGTCATTATACTTCAACCAAAATGTACTGTTTCATTTGATATTCCAAAGGTGATCTTTTGAGAGGGGACTGACCGAAAACTTTGGACTGACACGTGACATAGTGAACTCTGTTACTTGGATAGAGAGAGGATGGACTTAGCCTTGGCATCGATGATTGAGAATGCTGGAGTAGAAGGATCTGAGGGAGTATGGAGGATGTATTGCTGCTACTTCACAGGCCCATGGGACGCTTTTCGCTTAATCTGTCGAGTTCTTTGTACCTATCATGGTATGAAAAAATGTAAGTTAACAACAATTTATGCGTGATGCTTGTGAGTTTGACAATCATACTAGAAACTCTTATGTTAGTTCTGGTAAAAGGAGTTTTTTATTTTTTTGATTTGGTGCATTCAGATGTATGGAGACCTTATTCTACATCTTCGATAAATTTTAACATATATTTTATGACTTTTATTAATTATTTTTCTCGTGTTACTTGATTATATCTGATAAGAAATACAAGTGACGTGCTTGCTTGTTTTAAAGGCACATGGTGATTTCGACTTAATACGGTGTTATAGTGAAGGTATTGAGGTCTGATAATGAGACAGTATACGAAAAAGACGTTTGGGTAACACTTGTCAGCCGAAGGGATACATCTTCAAACCACATGTTCATACACACCGACACAAAACGGAGTAACAGAAAGGAAAATAAACACATTTTAGAGGTAGTTCGAAGCATGATGATCACAATAAATGTACCAAAACACGTGTGGGGGCAAACAGTTTTGTCGGCGACTCAATTGATCAACATAATGTCTTCAAGTATGTTGGATTGAAAGTCTCATTGTCAGATGTTGAAATGTGATAATAGTGGGATCCTTCCATTGAAGTCATTTGAATGTGTATGTTTTGTAAAAAAATAACATATCATATGTAGGAAAGTTGGATCTCAGAGCTTTGAAATATGTGTTCGTCTGGTATTCTGCTATTCAGAAGGGGTTTGTATGTTGGAGCTTGATCGAGAAGAGAAACATTGTGTATATGAATGTGTTATTCAATAAGTTTGAACCATACTACAATTTGAAGGTGAGTTCACCCTTCGTTGACTCGAGAACCACTGGAGATATGAGATAAGAGAGTGCGTAGTAGTAGTGATGGAATGACGAAAGTGGGAGAAATATCATATCCTGTGATGTGGGATGAATCAACTAAAGAGACGAAAATCGAGGAGCTTTACCCTAATGGTGATAACATTTAAGCTGAAGGTGAGCTAAGGGTGTATATGTGGAGAAAGAAACAAATCGAGGGAACAGATCCTGCAGTTCTAACAAGTCCCTTGTCTCAGTTTTCCACAACTCTTGAGACACTTACACCATCCATCTTTGATTTAAAACTTCCAGGTGTTATTTTTGCTCCTCTATCTACTCCTCCCCCCCAATATTAAGGAGGACCTCCTGCAACAATGCGAGACATCATCCTGATCGTTTTGGGTGGGAACTTAACATTGCAAATTTTATTTCTTATTCTAATATTTCACCTTTGTATGAAACATTTATTGTATCACTGAACTCTGTCTCTATACCTAAGTGTTGGCAAATTGTTAAAGAGGATTCCAAGTGGAAAACCACGATGCATTAAGAGCTTGGAGCTCTTGATAAAATTTATACATGGGAGATTGCACCACTACCAGCAGGGAGGAAGGCACTTGTATGCAAGTGGATTTTCACGATAAAACAAACTCCAGAAGAGAAGGTGAAGAGGTACAAAGCACGACTAGTGCAAAAGGATACAGTCAAACGTATGATATTAGCTGTGATGAAACCTTTGCACTAGTAACAAATATGAGCATAGTGAGGACACTGACTTCTCTTGCAGTAAATGGTAGATGGAGACTCCAGCAACTGGATGTGAAGAAGGCTTTTCTTCATGGGGAGCTACTAGAGGAGATATATATGGAGATATCACCATGATTCATTACATTCAAGACAGTGGGCAAAGTGTGTAGACTCAAAAAGTCACTATGTGACTTGAAGCAGTTTCCTCGACCCTAGTTTGACAAGTTTAGAATGACGATGGTTGACATGGGATACTAGCATATCAATGCAGACCACACGATGTTCTTTCAACAACATAGATGTCATACTACCATACTTGTTGTGTATATGGATAACATAATTATCATTGGTGATGATGAGACGGAGATTGCTCAACTGAATGTAAGATTAGAGAAGCAATTTGAGGTTAAAAAAACCTGTGATAGCTCAGATCCTTTTGTGGGATTGAATGGCTTATGGACCTAAGGGGATGATCCTATTCCAGAGAAAGTATGTACCGGATTTTCTCACGGAGATAGGCATGCGGGGCTTGCAAAGCTGCAGTCTCTCTAATTGATCATAATGTCAAGCTCAATATAGAGGCAGGTGAATCAGTTGATCGTGTGAGGTTCCATAGATTGGTGGACCGCCAGATCTATATATGCCGCGCTCGACTCTTTATTTCTTTTGCAGTAAGTGTTATGAGCCGCTAAATGCATGATCCAAGGAAGAGCCATATAGATGCAGTTTATCAGATTTTGAGGAGTGTACTAGGAAAAAATAGTTGACATTCAGGAAGAATGGACATATAGATATTGAGGGCTTTTATGATTTTGATTGCGCAAGTTGTGCCGATGACAGATGATCCACATCAGGATACTGCATGTTTGTAGGTGGCAACTTGGTCTCGTGGAAGAGCAAGAAATAGTAAGTTTTAGCAATATCAACTACAAAGACAAAATATAGGGCCTTGACATTAGGAGCTACTAAGATGATGTGGCTGAAAGACTTGTTGGTTGAACTCAAAGTGGATCGGGGAACTCAAATGAAGTTGTGGTTTGACAACAATTCAACAATCGACATTGCTAACAACCTGATGCAACACGATAGAACTAATCATGTGGGAAATGATAGATTCTTCGTCTAGGAAAAGTTGAATAACAGATTGTTGGAACTAAGTCATGTAGCTACTGGAGAGTAAGTGGTTGACTGCCTCACTAAAGGACTTAGCTCAGTGGAGTTGATTATGTAACAAAATGGGCTTAGTGAATATTTTTCGCCCACCTTGAGGGGGACTGTTGAGAGTCTATTTGTAAATAGAAGAAATTTAGGGGTTTATTTGTAAATATTTTATGGCTCTATGTTAGCCAAAATGTTAATGAAATGATTAATTTTAATTGCAAAATCATTTCAATTGATTCTCCTTGTAGAAATTGAACTCGACCTATGTTGACATTCATGCTGGCATGACTAAAGTTATGCTTGCAACTTTTGTACTGACACCACATTTGTGCCACATTGAAGATTTTATTGTTAAGTTGGATTCTGATTGAATCTTCTAACATAGAGACTGTGCCAGAAGCATGCTAATAAATTAATGATAAATAACAGCTGTCACATTCAAAGCTTGTAGGGATGACACATTGTGTTCTAATGGTGTCATGATGAAGTTTGTATAACAAGAGCAAGATGTTCAATAGCGAAAATTTATTGTCATTTCTATGAAAGAAAAATGCCTTGACCTTTCATTAGGTTTTGCTAAATACTTTTACTTGAAATAGAGTAAGCTTTTGCTAGATGAAATCTCCATAACTAGGGCTGGCAGTTTACAGGTTGAATATTCTATTGCATTCCTTTTCACGTTTGAGTTAATTTGTAATCAAGGTATAATGTTGCCCACCACAATATATTTGCAAACAATTGAAGTGAAAAGTTGAAAAGAGTTCATTCCAATTGATTCTCTCTGTAGAAATTGAACTCGACCTATCTTGAAGTTTATACTATGCATGAATAAAATTGTGCTTGCAAATTTTATACTGACGCGTCATTTGTGCCACATTGAAGATTTTATTGTTAAGTTGGATTCTGATCGAATTTTCTAACATAGAGACGGTGCCAGAAGTATGCTAATAAATTAATGATAAATAACAGCTGTCACATTCAAAGCTTGTAGGGATGACACATTGTGTTCTAATGGTGTCATGATGAAGTTTGTATAACAAGAGCAAGATGTTCAATAGCGAAAATTTATTGTCATTTCTATGAAAGAAAAATGCCTTGACCTTTCATTAGGTTTTGCTAAATACTTTTACTTGAAATAGAGTAAGCTTTTGCTAGATGAAATCTCCATAACTAGGGCTGGCAGTTTACAGGTTGAATATTCTATTGCATTCCTTTTAACGTTTGAGTTAATTTGTAATCAAGGTATAATGTTGCCCACCACAATATATTTGCAAACAATTGAAGTGAAAAGTTGAAAAGAGTTCATTCCAATTGATTCTCTCTGTAGAAATTGAACTCGACCTATCTTGAAGTTTATACTATGCATGAATAAAATTGTGCTTGCAAATTTTATACTGACGCGTCATTTGTGCCACATTGAAGATTTTATTGTTAAGTTGGATTCTGATCGAATTTTCTAACATAGAGACGGTGCCAGAAGTATGCTAATAAATTAATGATAAATAACAGCTGTCACATTCAAAGCTTGTAGGGATGACACATTGTGTTCTAATGGTGCCATGATTATGTTTGTATAACAAGAGCAAGATTTTCAATTGTGAAAATTTAATTGGCATATCTAAGAAAGCAAAATGCCTTGACCTTTCATTAGGTTTTGCTAAATACTTTTACTTGAGATAGAGTAAGCTTTGGCTAGATGAAATCAACATAACTAGTGCTGGCATTTTGCAGGTTGAATATTCTATTGCATTCCTTTTCACGTTTGAGTTAATCTATAATCATGGTATAATGTTGCCTACCACAATATATTAGCAAACAATTGAAGTGAAAAGTTGAAAAGAGGCTTCACTAAGTCACATGGTAAGTATTGTAAGAAAAAGAAGGCTTTCTCTCCCTCTCTTTTTGATGAGCGTGAGGTTCAAAAATTAAGTTTAACAATTATCATAATAAAAAACTCTCAGAAACGGTAATCATGTTCTTTTAGTTAAACACCTTTTGCTTCTAATATGATTTTTGGTTGCATGTTTTATAAATGGCTTTAGGTTGGCGTCTTTGGCTTCTTTATGATACTTCCCTTCATAAAATAAACTAAACATCACATTTATTGTTTCTATTGTATCACTATGGTAGAATATAAGTTTGCTAAATTGAACGTTGAGTTTTGAACTAATACATATCCAATATGATACTCAGTTTTGTAAGGATTTTACCAAAAAAACAATGCAACATTGACTAATCCCTTTTATTCTTGAGCTTGTTGTAAGTGACAGTTACTCCATGTTTAGGCGGCATTCTTCTTGTACCTTTCGTACAATCCTCTTATTACTTTTTCTTGCATATCTTGATGTTGCTTACGAGTTCATTTACTTTTAAAACCTCTCATAAGGCTAGTTGGCAGATGATTTATGATGCGCCTAGTGTTTATTCTGTTGACCACTTAAAATGTGTTTCTTTGGCTTAACCAACATCTAGAGGAGTTGTAAGTAAATTGAGCTTAAGCAGGGAGGCTGCCCCTTTTTTGTTGGTGTCGGAGCATGTCATTTAGTGATTGTGTGAAAATTTTAGTTTACCAATAAACTTGAGGTGATAGAAACTTAATAATTATATTTGAGTCATGGAGATCATCTATACTGTCGTAAAAAAACTGCTCATAAATCTCTATTCTCAATCAGAGCTGGTAATCTCTTACATTCTATGAAGCTTCATGATCTCCTTAAAGAAATGCTTTTGCATCATTGGGATCATCAAGAATATTTTTGCTATGAACAATATTCTCACATAAAAAAAATGCCATCTTAGAATAATAAGTAATAACAATTAGGATTTAACTACGACCTCTTAGTGTGCGTGAAAAATCAGCCTTAAATTCATGCTTAGGTCCTCCCACATATGATTTGAAGTTGGAAAGAGTTGATCAAATATCATTTTGTTTTTTATCTTCTTCATTTTGACAGTCATACAACTTTCTCACTAAATACGACATGTCTCTTTTCATTTTTGTTGAAAATAATATTCTAAAATGTCAACTAGCATTTTATCTCCTCCAAGATGTCCTTCTAAACCACCACTTTATATAGAGTAGGTTGGAATGCAAAGTTGAGTTTCTTAAAATGAAATCTATTAATGATTAAAAGTTTTAGATCATTTTCAATGTCACGTTTTCATAGATTGATGTAGGATATAGACCATTGTTATATTGTTTTCGTTGAATGTCAATGACAACAATTTCAAATGATAACGTGCTAAGAAATAAGCTTTTCAAGCATGTCAACTTCTTTGTAACCACCAACATGATATAAGAAGAGGATATGTTTGACACTTCAAGCAAGTGAACATGAAAATGAGGTTATTAATCTTGATTCTTAATTCCTATTCAAAAGTAGAAGAAATGGGTCATCGTACAGGGAGAAAGATGTTGTTTCTTAGATTCCTATCTCTATATCTCTTCAACTTCACAAGACTCTTTTTAGAGCTAGTAAACTCTTTTTTTTTTTTGTTAGTTCCCTCAAGCTCAGCATTTATTTTTTTGTTTGATTTTCTTCGATAAGAATCTAAACATCTCAATTATAATTGGAATCCGGGAAATATTATTTGCAGGATGTCATGGCTCTAAATATGTGTGTTCTGAGGCTGTGACCTCAAATTCGTCACCCACTTCATGGATTGCTCGTTCATTGGTGCCAAAAAACAACACAACAAACTGATAGTTTTTATATCTGCACTAAATGCTTTGTTATATTTTCTTCTTTAATTCACAATTGTTGATTCCTTGATTTGAAATGAATTTTAGAGAAAATGAAAGTTCTTTAAAGTTGGTCAAACAAATCATCGATCCTCAACAAATGTTACTTAACTGTAGGCTTGCTTAATTTCTTGTAATGAATGCATAACCAGCCAAAGTTCCTTCTATTTGATATAAATCAATACCCTTTTTCTATTAGCAAGTTTTTTATGCACTTAATTTCATTTGAATGTGGGCAAAGAAATTGACGCATATGACTATAAGGCTTTGTTAAAGTTTCTTGTAAGGTTGGAAATAAACTGAAGTGGCTAGTTTGTTGTCTGTTAGAATTCAATTGGGCATAAAAGTGAATAAATCTTTTCACACCAAGATTATGATATGTTAGCTCATTTTGATATGTATTTTTTATGAAAATATCGTCACATTCATGATCACAATTTTTATTTAGTAGAATAATCAATGCTACTGTGGTTTTAGATGGTAGACTCTATGATGGAAACTCAAACCATCAATTCGTAAGCTTTGTTCAGGTTGAGGAGCGCATTTATAAGCGTCTCAGCATGAAGTATGGACTTCTACCTTATCTTGCAAATGGAAATTCCAATTAGCAGAAGGGCTACCAGCTTAGACTATTTTGTGGTGAAGACTCATCTTCTTGCTATGTTTTAAACGCGTGTCGGTTTACCAGGCTATCATTTATACTTAGTCAATGAACCATTTCATACACATTGACATTAACTTGACTAGTATTCAAGTGAGCTTCTTTCACAATTAAATAAGGTCAAGCTTAAGCGTGACCAGAGCTCTTTTTCATATACTTCTTTAGTACTTGCTGCATATGTGATGTTTTCTTTTTTGATAGGCAGTAAAAATAGTGGACAATGTTTTTCCCCTCTTATGCCCGGCTAACAAAAATGCTTGTGCATGTAATATCATGTAATATGCTTGTTAATTTTTTGTCCGTTTCTTTTATTTTCATCCTTTTACTTCTTTCCTATTGTGTTGACTTACTCACATATAGGTGTGCAAAGATCAAAATCTCCACGTAGAAGATCTAGGACTGATGGATCAGGGAAAAGCATGGATGATTCAGTTCAACGAAAATTGGAACAGTTTTACGAGGGACCAAATGGACCACCTATACGAGTACTTCCTATAGGTGGTTTAGGGGAAATTGGAATGAACTGCATGCTAGTTGGAAACTATGACCGTTATATCTTAATTGATGCAGGAGTGATGTTTCCAGAGTATGTGTCAGAAATCGTATTGCACTGTCATGAACAAACTATTTATTTTGGTGGTTTTTGCTCTTATTTTATTATTGTTCAGTATATTGTTAAGTATGTCAGGTTGGTAGTCAAATAATTTAAGGGTTCTTGCTTATTTCAACATGAAAGATTTTGGGTCTAAAAATCAGCGTTTCATTTCTTATTGTGATTGTTATTTACCAAAGATCTATTTGTTATGAAATGTCAATGTCATATTAAACCTTAATTGTAGCTTTTCTTATGCACAATGTCAGGGAACTTGGATTTTGTGATACAGATATAATGTTCGATGCAGAAAACCTCAAAACTTGCACACACATTTTGCAGGTCACAAACTGTTGGCTTAAAATACTAATAGATTAGCCTTGTTGGAAACTAAAAAAAACTATAAAATTCAATTTAGAGGAAATTTAATGGTTTTCTATTAGAATGATAGCTTTAAGGGTTGAGAAAACCATGAACTTCATGCAATTGGCTTTATTCAAATTGAACTTTTTGGGATGAAAAATATGCATCTTTCAAATAATTTTTCTAATAATCTATACGATTTGAAAAATTATCCAGAATTAGTAAATATCTTTGGGCTGCAATGGATGATAAAAATAATAAAAAATATATTAAATTGCTAGTTGTATTGTAAGGTTCTAGCTCGAGCTAAATTGATTAAAAAAGTTCAGTAAATAAATTTAATTGAAAATATAAAGACTTGCATATGGAGTAGCAATGTGGTGCAGCACCACAGTTTTTTGTGTTCGACAAACTGCATTTTGTTTATTTTTTCAAAAAGTTGTGGTGGAAAGCTGCATTTTGCAACGTAACCTGATTAAGTGCGATGATTGCTAGAAAACTGTAGTATGAGTTTTTGAAAAAAAAAATAGCTACCGTAGCTTTTTGAATAGGAATTTTTTTTGCAGCAACTTCACATTTGCTTCTTCAAACAGCTACAACTATCCCGATCAGACCCTTAATTAAAATTTAAAATAATTGGCATACAAAATTTAATAGAGACCATGGAGTTATAGTTTTCATTTTGAATTCAAATTATAAACAATGATTGTGAAAGATAAAAATTTATTATGATAATTATATTGAAATTAATTCACATTTAAAATAAATCACATGAATGGTCTGGTAGTTAAATTTTACATATGATTGCAGTGAAATTTAAATTAAAAGCAATGACATGCATGATATCATAAATAGCTTTTAATTCAAATTCAAAAAAACCATGCTATATGACACTCTTATTATGCGTCAAGTTTTGCTTCTTGATTCAATGTACATTATTTAATTTTATTATATGTATAAAACTATAATGAGTATCATAAATCTTATACTAAGCCAATGCCCCAATGTTGCTAGGGATGATAACGATAATTAAAATAAAGTTAAAATCATTAGTGGGATTTACCTATATGCCATAAAATTCTTATTTATTTATATATTTAACACCTAAATATTTTTATTTATTTATATAACTCTTTAGTGTCTGAATCACATCAAATATATGCTTGAAAAATTTGTGTTACTTATATTAATTGTTATCAGTTTTATTTTTATGTGATTTAGAGATTTAAGTGTTATATAAGTCAGTAGAAAGACCTAGTACAATATGTAAATATATAGGAATTTTGTGGTATGTAAGTAAATCTCCTAAATTATTGATTACACTATTAGGGGTCTTACTTTAGCCTAAGTTATCGAAGATTAAGCAAAGCCCTTTGAATTTCAAAATACAAGAAAATTAATAGTAAACTTAAAGATAATGTTATATTCCATATCCATTTAACCATTGAATAAATTATGTGAATATTAGGTAATGATGTATAAGTTTGAATTCAAATTTAGAAGTTACTACATGATGAAATGGTTATAGTTTTCAGTTTTAATTGAAATTCAAAAGTAGGGACTTACATTATCTTATTGCTTTGTGTTAAATAAGATAGTTGTACTTCTCAAAATTAGAATTTTGTCATGTACTATATTCAAATTTAAATAACGAAGTGCATGATGTGATAATTCATAAGATATTTTTTAAATGTGTTTGAATTCTGAGAAGAATTGAAGAGAATTGATTGGGGTTAACTTTATACAACTCTAGGAAAACATCATGTGGTTTATTATAATCAATGCAACATGTAGGTTAGTGACATGGCAATAATGAGTACATGGATTGGTGAGGTGGCAATGAAAAAGAAGGTGGAAAAGCTTGGCGGGTAGGGGTGGAATATTAGAGATACTTGGCGGCTTAGCAAGATGGACAATTGCAAGGACAATTGCAAGGTAAGTTGCTGGGTGGATAGCGAATAGGCATTTTAACTATGTAACCTGGGAGATGGAATCACTGACTGCAATTGAGAAAGACATTTGACTATAAGCGTCGAAATACTCTCCATTCAAGCGAATGAATGGATATTATTTTTAAAAATTGCCCCTATTCCTTGGAAGGAATTTCTATGTGGTGTTTATTTGTGGTAACTGACAGGATTTAAATTAGGCCATTGTTCAGCTTATTTTTTATAAAATTTCTATCAATTTCAATATGTTTAGTATAATTTTATTGTACAAGATCCTGTAATATTGATGACTGATTTGCTATCATGATAAAGACTGACATTTCCACTTAATTTTTGATATTTTCGTTATAATTTTTAGATGTAATAATTTGTAGATTTGTACTATTGTAGATATAATTTCTATTTTTGTGCTAGATTTTGCTACCACATTTTAATTAATTATTTATTTGAGTTATGATGTTAAAAAGTTGCAATAACTTATGCTGACTTTTGGTCAACCATAGAACTTACATAAACTGTATATTTACAAGTTTTAAGGGTCATATTTTTCTTTAGTTTTGTAAAATTTCCTTGCATTGGTTTCCCTTTAAATTTTGTGAAATTTGATACATTCGCCTCAAGATTTGAGTTCAGTTTTTAAGATTTTATATGAATCAACTTATCACACTAGCAACATAGGTAGTATTGGGCTTGGTATGTGATGAACAAATTTGTCTTTCCACGAGTCTTTGGTAAACTTTTTCAATTGTTATTTCTTCCGGAGCATCTCTACATTTATTATAAAATTTCATGGGGTTCTTGATAGCCTTGTATCTAATGGATCTCTCTTCCAATAGATATTTTATCTATTTTTGTTATGATATAAGAATTTTATATCGTGAGTGTACAAATTTAAAATGAGTGAAGTACTTTAGCTTACCTAATTTCTTAACTTTTCTTAAATTCTCTATTCCTTCAAGGTGTTCAACTATCATGAACTAATAATGCGAAGACTCTCCTTAAAGTTTTATTTCACAAATAATATATGGTCTTCTTGACTTTGTTTGTATCCATTATTGAGGATTACCTTGGTGAATTTTTTGAAGTATGCCATTGAAGTTTACTTGAATCTATACAATGCCGTTTTAATTCATGTATTTTTTTACTCTATATTTGAGTCAAATCTTGATGGGATCTTCATGTATACCTCCTATTGATCACCACGAAAGAAGGTATGTTTCACATCTTATTATTGTATTTTCTAGTTCTTGTTAGTTGCTTATGATAAAGGAATTGAAATAATATCTATTTTTTGCTCTATAGTAAATGTTTTTAGATATATAATCCCATAAATTTGAGTGTAGCTTTTAGCCACTATGAACCCTTTAAATAGAATACAACTGAACTTTTAAATATCAACGAGTTTTTTGGTTTAATGATTAGAATTTTATCCAAAAATCCATGGTTAAGCTTGCTAGTATAGGAGCATTCTCAGGATGAGCGACTTCCTGTACTCTCAGGATGAGTGACTTCCTGTACTCTCATAATGAGTGACCTCCTGGGACGTTATACTGATGGGACAAAATTTTGAGATCATTAGCCAAATTAGATAATATTTCGATGGGTGAGAATTCAGACTGTTACAAATAGTTTCATTCATTTTATTAGCCTGAAGATGAGAATTAAGTGTCATATAGAACAAGTTGTTATGTTATGGGAGCTGCCTCTTATACACTAGATGGATAAGGTTTTATATGACAACAACCACCTTGAGAATCTTATCTGTCGAGTGGATAATTTTGGGTTAAGGAAATTGAGGACGATGCTATTTTTTATGTGGTTGAGATTATGAAACCCCTTAAAAGCAAAATGAACCTAAACTCTTAAACATTGAGGCGCTGTTTGGTGTAATGGTTGGAATTTCATTTAGCCATTCTCCTATGGGATCACTTTTAGTATGGGCGACCTCCCAGAAAATTATATCAGCGGGACAAAGCTTTGAGGCAACTAAGACAATGTGAATAATTTCTCGATGGGTGTGAGTTTAAGCTGTTATAAATAGCATCATAGTGTTACACTAGCTTGAATATGGAAATGAAGTTCCATGCAGAACAAAGTATTATGTCATAGGAACCACCTCTTGAATTCTAAATTGTATAAAGTGTTACATGGCCGTAGGCACCTCTTGAATCTATAAGGAGCTACCTTTAAAATTCTATTTGCATGGTGGATGATTTTGGATTATGAATACTGACGAAAATGTTGGTTACTTACGCAGGGAAGATTTTGAAATCGTTCAAGTGGAATATCGTTGAACTTTTAAACATCAAGATGGGTTTTGGTACAACTATTATAATCTAATTAGAAATTTCGTTGTTAAGCATGCTCGCACGGGAATAGTCTCGAAGCAAATGCTATCCTTGATAATTAAATCGATGAGACAATTGTTAGGCCATTGCGTCAAAGTAGACAATATATAAATGGGTGAAAGTTTGTGCTATTACAACCATTAGTTTGACTTTATACTTTTCTAGTGAGCCATTGTCTTTATATTTTACTATAAAGATCCATTTACATTTCACTTTTTTTTTTCTTTAGTAATCTCACTAATTCTCATATTTTTTCTGTTGAAGGACTTCTAATTCTTTTTTCATAGCATTATTTTTATTACGTTATTTAAATTCTTAGAGGTGATTTACGGTT